AAGTGGTAAATGTATGTTTGGCCATTTTCACAGAGAAGCATGAACATAAGCAACATTTTCTGTCCCTTTGGCTTAGTCTTTCCAAGAAAGGTACAAGGGCAACTGTAAGGCAAGAAAAGATCCGTGGTTTGTGTGGAGAAGATGCTGTGACTGACCGAATGTGTCAGAAGTTTATTGCAAAGTTTCATGCTGGAGACTTCTCCCACAGGTAGGCAGGCCAGGTGCAGTGGAGAGCCCTCCATGGGAGATGTTCACTGAGGACAGATCACATCATGGCAGGCGGGAGACAGGCAACATGTTGAAAGTGTCCTACTCAGGCTTCGAAAATCATTTGCACCAGCTTGGTTACATGAATTGCTTTGCTGTTTGGGCTCCACAGGAGTTCAGCAGGATGGTGGGGGACCTTCATGAGTGGATTCCCACAAGTGGTTCTCCACTGAAACATAAGGGAAATGCTCAATTTCCATCAAGATCGTGTGTGTGGAGGGAGGACGAATCTTTGCCATTTGAGAGTTATGTGGAATGAGAGAGATTGTGGGCAAACAAAGGAAATACCACTTGGTCATCCAAAGGGCTGTCTGCACCCAAAGGAGGTGACGGTGCCCTTGTGGTGAATTGGAGAGGGAGTCCTGCAACAGGAGCTGGTTTCGGAAAGCCAGCAGGTTACTGGCAACGGGTACTGCTCCCCATCAGACCAACTGAAAGTGCCACCTGAGGGAAAGAGTCCGGAATTTGTGAGCAGAAGGTGCGGAAGGTTAGGATTAGGTGAGAGAGCACATATCTCTTTGGTGACCAGGGAAAACGGTTCCAGCCTGGCTGCACAGTCCTGATTCCTCCACAGTACTCAGAAGACCTTGCTCCTTCCCATGGCCATCTAGTTTGTCTCTCTGAATTCTTATTTATGGGGAAAAATTTCTGTTCTCTGGAAGACTGTATAAAACACCTGGAAGAGCTCTCTGCTTAGAAAGAGAACAATGTTGTGGGACGATGGAATGGTGAAATTGTGTGAAGGTGGCAGAGAGCAGTGGAAGAAAACGTTGGTGACATTGTTCAGTTCCTTTGTGGGAGGACAGTGAAAAGTGTGCCCGTCTTTGTAACTCAAGGTAAAAAGTGAAGGAATCTTTCAGCCAGGCCCTTAGTAGGATATGCATTGCATTGTCGGTCTCTGCTGCCATCTCGTGGTCATTTTGGGGAATGACACCTTATTGCAGGTCCAAGGGAAAAGTGGGTATAGTGTATCACCTAGGAATGTGGAACCAAATGTTATTTAGATGTACATTTCATCACTTTGAAAAAAAAGGACTTTTTAGTAACCCTTTGTTACTGATTAATAGGTTGACTGCAGTTAGTGTCAGCAATATGCTTTCCATAATTTCAATGTTTTGAAGTTTTTTGAAACTTGCTTTACAGTACATGACCACTGAAAAAGTGTTCCAAGTGTGCCTCTCTTCTGCCACCTGGTGTTCGCGTTGGGAAAACACCTTGGTGCAGATCAGAAGGAAACGTTGGGTATAGTGGGTCATCCCTAAATGTTGAATCCAATTTTGCTGCTCATGTTAAGTTTATTTAAAAAAAAATTAAACTTGCTAGAGAAGGGGGAGGGAAGGGAGAAAGACAGAGAGAGAAACACCGATGTGTGTAAGAGATACATCAATCAGTTGCCTCTCACACGTCCCAAACTGAGAATCTGGCCTGCAACCCAGCCATGTGCCTTGATTGGGAATCCAACTGTGACCATTTGGTTCACAAGCCTGTGTGCTCAGTCTACTGATCCACAACAGCCAGGGGTCATGTGAAGTTTTTTTTATATCTCTTCAGGGTTGTTTTTTTTTTTTTTTTTGAGGGAGGGAGTCAAGAAGGCTGCAGGTTTGATCCCTGGTCAAGCCACATGCAAGACTCAAGCAATGGCTGGTGTGGCTCAGTGGGCTGGGCATCTATCTGCCTGCAAACCAAAAGGTCACCAGTTCCATTCCTAGTCAGAGCACTTACCTGGGTTTGAGGCAGGAGATGGTGAGGAGGAAACTTTGGAGGTGCTCCAGGGCTAAGAGAAAGGACACTGATACAGGACAGAGACCCTGTTCTAAGACCAGTTGTTCCTGCTTTCTGGAAAAGCACTGAATCATGGTGAATCATAACTGCACCTGCACAGAAGATGCTACATGACCCCTGCTTCATTCTAATAGCATTGTAATAAATCAGCCTTGTGGGACCCCCTTCCCTGGTGGTCAGTCAAGGAAGTTCATGGGAGAGCACATGTGCAGTAGCTTTAAAGTAATAGAACTACTTGTACATGGGCAATAAAACCCTGCTAAAACTAGCCAAGAAGTATCACCCTGTAAGTATAGAATCCCTCCAGCTCCTGAGATCAGTCTGTTTGGAGTCAGCCTGCTCCCGTGTTCCGTGCAGTGTACTATCAATAAATCTGCTCTCTGTCTGCTATAAACTCTCTTTGGTCTGTTCAATTCTTTGTTTGCTATCATCAAGAACCTGGTTATCTGTGCCCACCTGTGATGGGTTGTGGGCCAGATCACCAGTTGGGAGCATACAAGAGGCAAAGGATAGATGTTCCAAATGAAAAATAAGTCAATAAATTTTAAAAAGTAAGTAAAACACAATTTCTATGTGGATCTGTATATATTAATGAACCTAGTATTCTTTTCCATCAATCTGTCTATTCATGATGCATTAATCCACTGTTGTACTTCCCGCAGCTTTGTAATACAACTTCTACTTGTTCCTTATTTTAACAGGTAAACTGAAACTGAGCTTGTTTTACTTTAAAAAATTTTGCTGAGCCCTGGCCAATGTGGCTCAGTCTGCTGGAGCATTGTCCTGTAAGGTAGGAAAGATAGCAAACTAAGGAAAGGAGGAGGGAGACATGTCTGACCCCCTGACTCAGCCGTCCTGAGCCGGATTTGATAATAGTGCCAGGTGTTCAGAATGTCACAAGAAACACATGGTAGCACAGGAGGAGGGAATTCTATGTACTGTTCCCATTGTCTGGGAAAGAAAGCCTTGGAATTAAACCGTGTTAATTCCAAGGTCTGGGTGGTAGGTGGGAGGGTGTCCACAGTGCCCAAAGAAGAAGCCCACAAGGCAACTTTGGTTACTTGCCTACTTCTGGTCACTATCTGTTTTACAAGGGAGTACCTAATGTTTACAGAAAGCCCATAAATAATTTATAATTTTGGGTAACTGCCCCGGCTTCACCTGGCTCCTGTCACGTATTTGTTTTACAAGAGGAACAAATGGGGCCTGGGGTGAGATAAGGATTCAGGCTAACAGACCCCCACACATGCCTGCATTTGGGTAGTTACTTCCCTCATGGAAGCTGGTAGCACCTTTACCCACCAGTTAATATGTCACTTCTTCACCCCAATCCTGCCAACTACCTAATTCCTCAGGACCAAGGACCTGAGGCTCTTGCCATCCTTACCTTGTCCTGCCCAGAATCTACACCTCTCACCCCCACCTTGGCAAGGCCTGTTCTCTTCCATGAGAACATATCACTAGTAAACCCTGCTTCCTCATGAATAGACTGGCTGACCTGTAATTCTTTACTGTGTCAGCAAGGAGAACTGAGTTTCTCCCTTAACAATTCCATAAACCGAAAGGTTGCAGTTCAAGCTCTAGTCAGGGCACAGGCCTAGGTTGTGGGTTTGGTGCCCAGTGGGGAGACAACCCTTTGATGTTTCTCTTTCACATCGATGTTTCTCTCCTTCCCTTCCCTTCTCTCCGAAATCAATAAGCATGTCCTCAGGTGAGGAATAAAAAATTTTTTTCCTGATATTTTAAGCTAGATCATATTATATTTGTAGGTAACCGTGGGAAATGGAGATATGTATTTATCTCTCCAAGAACATGCTGTTACTTTCCTATTGTTCAAGTGTCTTTTTGAAAAAAAAAAAAGATTTTACTTACTTGAGACAGGGGATGGGAAGGGGAGAGAGAGAGAGAGAAAAAAACCCCAAACATCTATTAGTTGCATCTCACAAGCCCCCAACTGAGGACTGAACCTTCAACTCAGGCACATGCCCGGATTGATAATCGAGGTGGTGAACTTTAGACCTGCGGCACGGAGATCATCCTTCCAGGTCATGGGGGTTGTTGTCCCCCTTTGGTGAACCCACTGCAGCAGGAATGGGGTGGGTCATGCGTAGGTCTCCCTCGTGCAGGAGAGGGTATGATGGGGTCCTCACTGAATGTTTGACATCTGTGTATTGAACTCAGCTCTGGTTCTAAGAAAAGTGTGGCCTCTGGGAGCTGTTGGCACCCTTCCTTATGCTCATGCAGATGTAGATGTTTACCCTGTTCTCACCTTGAGTCCTGTTGGACTCCCACCCATTGGGTCCATGGGAATTTTGTGTTCCTGGGCCATTGTGGACATTATCTGGGAACAAGTGGCCAAGAATGACCAACATTGTGCATGTCTATTATCCCATCAGACTTCACAAACAAGTTCAAAGATACAATAAGTAATAATTTTGAGATGGTGTCAGCGGTGCATTAAACTCTGTGGGGCCCAGGCACAAGGAGGGTGCATTACAGAACCTGCTGTGTTGCAGGCTTCATGAATGCCATGTGCAGATGGGGTGCACCTGTCACAGGAGAAACTCAGCTCCTGCCAACGCAGTAAGGGATCACAGGTCATCAAGTGTATTGCTGTGCAAGCAGGGTTTATTAGTGACACATTCTCATGGGAGAGGACAGGTCTTGCTGAGGTGGGGGTGAAAGGTAAGAGCACCAGGCCCTTTGTCCTAAGGACTTATATAGTTAGTGGGTAAAAGTGGTGCCAGCTTCCAAGAGGATGGACTACCCAAACGTAGGTATGTGTGGGGGTTGTTAGCCTGAACCCTTATCTTGCTTCTGACCCCACTTGGTCATCTTGTAAAATAGATCCATGACAGGAGACAGTTTAAGTTGAGGCAGTTACCCAAAGCTAACAATGGGCTCTTTCTGTAAGCACTAGGGACCCTCTCATAAAAGACAGTGGACAGACATAAGGAATTAACCAGATTTGTTTTATGGGTCCTTTCCGTGAGTGCTGTAGACACCCTTCCATCTTCTAGCCCTTGGGACGAATACACTTTGAAAGCCTTTCTTTCCCAGATAGTGGAAACAATACCTAGAATTTCAACATGTGAGCATGGTGTTTCTTGTGACGCTGGAACATCTGACAATGGAATTGGACCAGGCACAGGACTAGAGTCATTGGGTGACACCCATCTTCCTCTTCCTCGTCCTCCCTGCCTTGGCTCACCATCTACCCTAACACCCCAGTGCAGGCAGGTGCTGTTCCCAGTGTCAGTTCTCAGCAAGGGGTGGGTGAGGGTCTTGTTTCACAGCTCACTCTCAGCACCACCTGCCTGTGTTGAGGAGGCTCTGAGGATGCCCAGGCTCAGTGAGAGGATGGTGATCAGGGGGAGGCACCTCCCCAACCTCAGGCTTCCTTCTCAGGGCAATTCAGTCTGTGTGGGGAAAGCAGTGGGGTCTGCTCAAATTCTGAATTTGGTTAAACACCCTTGTCCTAATCTTCCTTTGTCCACCACTAAAGACCAGGAAGACATGGGCACTGAAGGCTGTTCAGTAGGGCTTTGCGATGTCAGTGATCCTCTTGCCAGATTCTGTCTGTGCTGACTCAACTTTGAATGTCAAACCAAAAGACTGGAGTTCCCATTTCCATTGCACAGACTAGGAAGCAGGCAGAGAGAAGTTGAGAATCTTGCCTTAGGTCACACAGCTGGAGGAGACAGAGCTGAGACTCACACTAAGTATGGACTGAATGGAATCTGTATGCTGTGCACTAGGAAATACTGACCCTTAAAAGGGAGCAAGGAGAGTGAGGAAGACCAAGTGCCCAGACTGAGCAGCTCATGTCCATGCACAAGCATCCATCTCTCCCTGCCATTCATCTCCGAGACTCCAGACATTGTAGGAAACCAGAAGAGCCAAGAGAAGCCAAGGGAGAAGGGATAGGGAGCTGATTAGGAGAAAAGGCCCTTTCCAGGAGACTGGGGAATTACCTTCCCAGGCGAGTCTGTCTCAAATCCCTCTCTTTCGGGAGTAACGAAAGTAGACTGATTTCACATTTACACATTTGTAGGAGTCGAATTTCTGTGGCTGAGAGTATGAGTTCTTTATGGCTCTTTAGGAATCCTCTGCTTTCAGTGATGGGGAAAATGAGAGATGTGTATGGAGACAAAACATTTTAGAATAGGTCAAAAAACCATGAACGAGCTTGGTGCTGACATCCCCATATCACTATGGAACTGTTTGTCCATTTCATCTCTTGTAATGAAACTGGAAGGTTTGTTTAACCAGTTACTTCTATACTAATTACAATCTTGGGGAGAGTAAGGGGCTGTGGACTTCCTATGGCTATTGATATGTGACTTAATGCTAATGACTCACTCACTCCTCCTGCAAACATAGGGCTTCTTCTCCCCAGAGTGTGTCCTCTGGTGTGTGATGAGATTTCTCTTGCGTGTAAAGCCTCGCCCGCACTCCCTGCAAACATAGGGCTTCTCTCCAGAGTGTGTCCTCAGGTGTGTGATGAGATGTGACTTGCATGTAAAGCCTCGCCTGCACTCCCTGCAAACATAGGGCTTCTCTCCAGAGTGTATTATCTGGTGTGTGATGAGAACTGACTTGCGTGCAAAGCCCCGTCCGCACTCCCTGCAAACATATGGCTTCTCCCCAGAGTGTGTCCTCTGGTGTCTGATGAGATTTCTCTTGCATGTAAAGCCTCGCCTGCACTCCCTGCAAACATAGGGCTTCTCTCCAGAGTGTGTCCTCTGGTGTCTGATGAGATGTGACTTGCATGTAAAGCCTCGCCCGCACTCCCTGCAAACATAGGGCTTCTCCCCAGAGTGTGTCCTCTGGTGTGTGATGAGAACTGACTTGTATGCAAAGCCTCGCCCACACTCCCTGCAAACATAGGGCTTCTCCCCAGAGTGTGTCCTCTGGTGTCTGATGAGATCTGACTTGTATGCAAAGCCTCGCCCGCACTCCCTGCAAACATAGGGCTTCTCCCCAGAGTGTGTCCTCTGGTGTGTGATGAGAACTGACTTGCATGCAAAGCCTCGCCCACACTCCCTGCAAACATAGGGTTTCTCCCCAGAGTGTGTCCTCTGGTGTGTGATGAGATGTGACTTGCATGTAAAGCCTCGCCCGCACTCCCTGCAAACATAGGGCTTCTCCCCAGAGTGTGTCCTCTGGTGTCTGATGAGATTTCTCTTGCATGTAAAGCCTCGCCTGCACTCCCTGCAAACATAGGGCTTCTCCCCAGAGTGTGTCCTCTGGTGTGTGATGAGAACTGACTTGCGTGCAAAGTCTCGCCCACACTCCCTGCAAACATAGGGTTTCTCCCCAGAGTGTGTCCTCTGGTGTGTGATGAGATGTGACTTGCATGTAAAGCCTCGCCCGCACTCCCTGCAAACATAGGGCTTCTCCCCAGAGTGTGTCCTCTGGTGTGTGATGAGAACTGACTTGTATGCAAAGCCTCGCCTGCACTCCCTGCAAACATAGGGCTTCTCCCCAGAGTGTGTCCTCTGGTGTGTGATGAGAACTGACTTGTATGCAAAGCCTCGCCCGCACTCCCTGCAAACATAGGGCTTCTCCCCAGAGTGTGTCCTCTGGTGTGTGATGAGAACTGACTTGTATGCAAAGCCTCGCCCGCACTCCCTGCAAACATAGGGCTTCTCCCCAGAGTGTGTCCTCTGGTGTGTGATGAGAACTGACTTGCATGCAAAGCCTCGACCGCACTCCCTGCAAACATAGGGCTTCTCCCCAGAGTGTGTCCTCTGGTGTGTGATGAGAACTGACTTGTATGCAAAGCCTCGCCTGCACTCCCTGCAAACATAGGGCTTCTCCCCAGAGTGTGTCCTCTGGTGTGTGATGAGATGTGACTGCTGTGTAAAGCCTCGCCTGCACTCCCTGCAAACATAGGGCTTCTCCCCAGAGTGTGTCCTCTGGTGTGTGATGAGAACTGACTTGTATGCAAAGCCTCGCCCACACTCCCTGCAAATATAGGGCTTCTCCCCAGAGTGTGTCCTCTGGTGTGTGATGAGAACTGACTTGTATGCAAAGCCTCGCCCGCACTCCCTGCAAACATAGGGCTTCTCCCCAGACTGTGTCACCTGATGTGTGATGAGATGTGATCCATCATTAAAGCCTTGCCAACACCCTCCATGCTCGATTGTTACAATGTTTGACATTCCTCCTTTCACAAAGAACTTGCCTGTGTCCTCTGGATTCTCTTTCTGGCCTCTCCAGGGCTCTTCTTCCATCAGTCTCTCATGCTCACTAGAGCTCATTTGTTCTTTGGATGGTTGGAAAAAGGGTTTTGAGATTCTCCTTTGACTGATTCTTTTAAGCAAAGGTTTGGACCTTTCTTTGACCTCTTGACCTTCAGCTTTATCATTCCAGCTGTGTGTACTAGTATGTTGCTGCTGCTGATTCTGATCCTCTGGACAGGGTTCCTCTGCTTGGAGCTGTTTTGTTGAAGATGTTTCCTGGAGAATCTCAGAGGGATGATTGAGTTTCACGTGTTGGCTGAGGAATTTCTGACTGGAGAAGGCCAGAGAACAGGAGGAACATGGGTGCACCTCTGGCTTTGGTTCTGCTGAAAGAGAAAGGTTTGGTCAGGGCAGATGTTGAGGACAATGCCTGGGCTGTATGATTAGTCTCCTGGTAAGACCTGCCCCGTGAGTCCTTCTTACTGTGGTGACAACGCAACGTCTGTCTCCCAGTGTCCACTCGCCGTCTATTTTCCTTTTTATTTTCATGCAGTGCATCTTCTTCAGAAACCCAGAAAGCCCACATCAAGGACATTTTACTCCCTTTCTGGATCAAACTGCAGTGACATTTCTCATCTACAGGTACCTTCTAAGTCACGTTAAAGAGGAAAACCACAGGTCCCAACTAGGAATCGCTTCTCTGTTTTCCAAAATAGTAAAATGTAATGTCCTTCCTCAAGCCTCACACCAAATATTTATTTATGCTTAATCTCATTTAGTGTTAGACTATTTCAAATACACTAAGAAGACCTGTTTCAAAATATTGCAACCACATTTCTTACGCGCCTGACTCCTGTTTCTCTCTGGCCAACCCACCACGCTCTCTTACTTGGAGATGAAGAACTCCCCACTGGTGTTTATTTTCTAAAAATTAACAAAACATAGTCACAACAGAGAACACACGACTCCATAGCTGACAACTGCACACTTTCGCTCAGGAAAGTCCCCAGTGTCTCAACTCGGGTCATCGGCACTGCATGTCTGATCTGTTTTTACCCTCTGTGCCGAGGCGAGACCTGAGTGACCCTCAGCCAATTCAACGCCCCACCTCTTTCCTTCCCTGGACTAGCTGCTCCCTCTGCCTGGGATCCTGTGCCCGCAGGTATTTTTGTAAATGTTGGCTCCTGAGAGAGCCTTTCCCGGACCACCTGCCACACGCCTCCCCTCACACTGATCCCCAGGCAATTGTCCTAGATTACTTTTCTCCAAAGCACTAACCGCTGTGTGGTGTTATGCACACAGAAGCACGTGTGCCTGGGTTTCCCTCCTTCACCCCTCAGCTCCTCAAGAGCAGTGATTCTGATCCTCACATCAACCTGTATATCCAGGTCCCAGGACACCATGCACCACAGAATAGGATCTCTCATGATAATTCACTGAAATGATGAACGAATGTGCCCTGACCGAATGGTGTGGCTTGGTGGGTTGGGTGTTGTCTGAAAACTGGAAGGTTACAAGTTCAATCAGTCAGGGCACGTGCCAGGGTTGTGGGCCAGTTGGGGGTGTGCCAGAGACAACCGGTTAATGTTTCCCTTCCACACTGATTTTTCTTTCTCCCTCCTTTCCACTCTGTAAAAATAAATAAAATCTCATTAAAATTTTTTTATTTATATATTTATTTATTTTCAGAAAAGGGGAAAGGGAGGGAGGGAGGGAGAGGGAGAAAAACATCAATGTGTGGTTGCCTCTCACATGCCCCGTACTGAGGACCTGGGTCAAAGCCCAGGAATATGCCCCAAATGGGAATCAAACTGGTGACCCTTTAGTTCATAGGCCAGTGCTCCATCCTCTGAGCCACACCAGCCAGGACAAAATCTTTAAAAAATAATGAATGCCTACAAACAAAAATGTTTTATTTAGAAGTATGGAGGAACTTCCGCCAAGATGGAGGCATAGCTGGAGACGCTGTGCTTCCTCACACAACCAAGTTTAGAGACAACTAAATAATAGCAACAGAAAACACAGCCAGAACACAGAAAATTGAACTTTTCGGAAGTCTGTTAACAACAAATTCTTCAGCCTGACCGGTAAGGGGTGAAACCTGCAGCTGGCAGAGCGGGGTTGCACAGGAAAACTCTGTTGGACGGATTCAGGTGTGCAAAACCCAGGCCCAGAGTTGGACCTAGTGAGCAACCCAGCGAGTGACCACAGGGAAACAGTGAGGGAGCAGGTCTGCGGGTTGACTGTGGTCGCGCCTTCATGTGTGGATAGACAAGTGACGGAGTGGGCGATTGGACGAGAGCCAGCAGCCCCACCAGCAAGCAGAGGCGGAGGGTCTCATTTCCCCGCTCTGACCACGCCCCCACATACAGCGTCACAACCCAGCGACCTGGGAGTCCAAAGCTCCGCTCCTCATACTTAACGGGCGCAAACAGACCAAAAATGGCTCAAGAATATCTCAAAGCCCCAGAGCCTATAAATCTAAACGATGAAGAAATAGCAAAACTCTCAGACACACAGTTTAAAACACTAGTGATCAGGATCCTCACAGAACTTGTTGATTATAGCCACAAATTAGACAAACATATGAAGGTGAAAGTAATTGAAATGAATGGAATTGCACAGGACACCAATAGCAATGAAAAGGAAACTGGGACTCAAATCAATGGAGTGGACCAGAAGAAAGCAAATAATGGCCAAACAGAAAAGAGTCATCAAGAAGCAAGAATTCAAAGAAATGAGGAGAGTCTTAGGGACCTCCAGGACATCTTTAAAGGCTCCAACATCCGAATTATAGGGGTACCAGAAGGGGGAAAGGAACAGCCACCAGTGGAAAACTTATTTAAACAAATAATAAAGGAGAATTTCCCCAATCTGGCAAAGGAAATTGACTTCCAGGAAATCCAGGAAGCTCAGAGAGTCCCAAAGAAGTTGGACCCAAGAAGAAACACACCAAGGCATATCATAATTACATTAGCCAAGATTAAAATGAAGGAGAGAATTCTAGAAGCAGTAAGAGATAAGGAGATAGTCCACCTACAAAGGAGTTCCCATCAGACTGTCAGCGGATTTCTCAAAAGAGACCTTACAGGCAAGAAGGGGCGGGAAGAAGTATTCCAAGTCATGAAATCCAAAGACCTACAACCAAGATTGCTCTATTCAGCAAACCTTTCATTTAGAATGGAAGGACAGATAAAGTGCTTCTCAGATAAGATCAAACTCAAGGAGTTCATCATCACCAAACCCTTATTATATGAAATGTTAAAGGGACTTAACTAAGAAAAAGAAGATAAAAAAGATGAACAGTGAAAGGACAGCAAACTCACAGTTATTAAGAACCACACCTGATCGACACAGGGGGCACGCCCCCCCAGGGAAAAAAAAAAAAACCAACAAAACAAAAGCAAACTAAGAGGATAGCTAGATCAGGAGCAGAACCATAGAAATGAAGATCACATGGAGGGTTAGCAACAGGGGAGTGGGAGAAGGAGAAGGGGGGAGAAGGTACAGAAAATAAGTAGCATAGATGGTAGGTAGAAAATAGAGAGGGGGGAGGGCAAGAATAGTAGGGGAAATATAGAATCTAAAGAACTTGAGACACGTGGTCATAAACTGAAGGGGGAGAACAGTGGCGGAGGGGGTGTGCAGGGTGGGGGAGAATAGAACAACTGTAATGGCATAATCAATAAAATATATTTTAAAAAAAGATGGCCTGGCTGGCATAGCTCAGTGGATTGAGCGCGGGCCTGCGAACCACAGGATCGCGGTTCGATTCCCAGTCAGGGCACATGCCTGGGTTGCAGGCCAGTTCCCTGCAGGTCAGTTTCCAGCAGGGGATGCACGAAAGGCAACCACACATTGATGTTTCTCTTCTCCTCTCCTTCCCTTCCTCTCTCAAAGATAAATAAATAAAATCTTAAAAAAAAAAAAAAAAAGATGGTAATATTGGACAATGTGTTGAGGAGACCAGGAAAGGAAGGCAGCAGTTCCTAGGATACTCTCTGCATTTCCCTACTCTTACCTGCATTTCTATCCATGGGGAAAATTTTCCTGTCAACAGGATTTGGGAAATACTCACCCTTCGGATGTTTTCTCTGTTCCCTTCTGAAGGCCACCCAAGAAGGTTTCGCTGTAAGATGATGAGAAATCAGTGTAAAAAAAAACCCCCTTTAATAAAAAAAAAAAAAAAAATACACACTGGCCTCTCGACAAAAATGTAATAAAAGAAACTGCACAGAAAGTCCATGTCTTCAACATAACCCTTTCTCTGCTCTGTTGTCTTCATTCAAACTGGCCTTGTCTGGACTAAGGGCACCACGACCACCTCGCCTCCTTTCTCTGGTATCCTCCCCCCTGTGCACATACTGGCCATCCACGTCCCCTTCCTTATCATTAGACTCTGGTCGGCATCCACAGTCTGATGACCACAGCAACAGAATTCCAGTCAAGTTAAAGATCACATCTTGGCTTCAGCTGTGTTTCAACCCCAGACCCATGAAAGTGGACTGACTCTACGCAGCAAACACTCATGATACAGGATGGAACGGCATCATGGCCAACATCAGAAAATGATACAGTGATAAAACTACTCACTACCCTGGCCCCTCCCCCCATCCCCCGTCATCACCATGTTAATGGTGTCTCATGCAGCCAGGTGTCCGAACCGTCTGTCTCCATGCAGCCATCGGGCAGCCAGGTGTCCAAACACTCCTTGCCTGCCAAACCTGCCTCCCTCTCTTGAGATGACTATTCTGAATTAGTTATTTCTTACTCACTTGTATATTCTTATACATTTACTAGTTATTAATGTGTCTATAAATATATAAGATGATTTTGCACACTTGAAAGTTTATAGCAATAGCCCCTCACTGTACCACACACTGTTCTGCATCCTGCGTGTTCACTGGACAAGCAAACCCTGCTCAGTGGTTAACTCCTGAGATGCAGCCTGACCTAAACCAGGTTCCTGTCAGGAGGGCGGCTCTGGCTCCTCCTGCCCCTCACCTTGCTTCGTTGGAGTCCATTCTTCATCCGAGTCCTCAGGGTCCTCCTCCTCCAGCTCGGTGGCCCGCTCGCGGTGGTGACACAGGAAAGCTGGTCGAGGGGCTCTGAGACCTGGAAAGAGACAAAACCTTTGTCCTGAAAGCCCAGGGCTTGGAGGAGGAAGAAGCTCCAGGAAGCCCCTGTGACCGGCTCTGATGGGATGGGAGAGTCTGCAAGGAGTTGCTGTGAGTGCCACACCATCAGCACCAGCCTTGCTCTGACACGAGGAGCAAATACCCCTTGATCGGTGTCCTTGCAGGAGGGAGCTGCAGGCCAATGCAGCCGCCTGAGCTGGAGCCAGCTCAGCAGCCTGGGGGGTTCACCAGGCCCCTGGCCCCAGCACCTGTGTACTACCTAGGCTGGGGAGCACCTCGAAGTTCCTCTTCACATTCTGGTACCGACTTTTCTCCCGGTCTCCCATCTCGTCCCACTCCTCCCTGGAGAAGTAGAGGAAAGCGTCTTTCGAAGCTTCTTCTGCCTGGAGAGTGGAAACACAGTAACTCGGTGATGTAAGAACGTGCACAGCCCCCGGTTGCAGGGAGCAGGCGGGGCCTCGGTGGTCGCTGTGCTGCAAGCACTGAATCCCTGTCTGAGTCATTTCCCAGGTCCCCCAGCGGCTGTTCCTCCGGGTGCGTCCGTCCGTCCGGCGGGTCTGCTCACACTCTAGGCCTTCTCCCACTTCCCTTGTAGCAGGAGACCTGCTCAGACAAGCCCAGACAAGTCAGAAGGACACGCTGAGCCACTAAGATAAGGAGGGGTGAGCAACTAAGTAACTAAGAAGTACGAACAAAAGAACATTGGATGACCCTATTGATGTGGGAAGCTTTGGGAAACTTTTGTTCACCCAAACCCCAAGCGCCCTGGGAGAGTGATAAGGCCATCTGGGAAAAGCAAACAGCAGGACAGTCACAAGGGCTGGGGCTAGCACCCCCACAGTTACAACTAATTTCCACATTTAGCCTTTGTACTCTGCTTCTGCCACTAGTTAGAACTAACTTCTGTATTCCGTTTCTGTATCCCGCTTTGCTACTTAGACGGGAAGACCCTGTAGACTATATAAACCCCAAGAATCCTTTCTTCGGGGCTCAGAATTTGGAGACCGACTCCCCTGGACCCGTGCACGGTTAATAAACCTCGTACTCCAGAAACCCTCGGTGTCTGGTTGCTTCATTTTCCCGTAACACTGTCAGCAGTCCTGCTTTCTCAGCAGCCCTGCTTTCTTGCTTCTGTAAACCTGCTTCCGCTCGTAGGCTTAGTAAAATCGCTTCAAGATGCCACACTATAAAAACAAGCCCCTGCCCAAGCTCGGGACCCAGAATTTGGAGATTGCCTCCTCTGGGTCCGCATGCATCAAAAAAGTTCCACTCCGTACACCCGAAAGCGGCTGAGTTGTTTTTCCGGAACACCCTGACCGGCCCTGCCCCGCGGAGTCCCTTCTCTCCCACCAGCGCTCTGCACCCGCACTGCCCGGGTCACCCCGAGGCCCGGGCGTCTGCGGAGCCCTGTCCCACGCTCCCCGCCGGCCCCTCAGCTCACCTGCAGCGTCCGCCCCGCTTCTCCCTCGGGGCTGTGCTGCGGGCCCCTGTCGGGGTTCATGGTGTCCCAGCCCCGAGTCCTCCGAGTGCCTGTGGAAGGAGAAGGCGCTGAGGGCTGAACCGCTTTCTCCTGGCTGTCTGGGCGGCAGGGGGGCACGGGGCCCTGAGCAAAGAGGGGCTGGACGGCCTGGGGCGTCTTCCGGGCTGAGGACACTGAGGTCTGGGGGGACGGTCAGACCCTGCGGCTGCGGAGATTTGGGGCCTCCCATCGAGGGGCTTCAGGGTCCCAGGACGACGACATTTAGCGTCTGAGTTTGGGGAGATTCGGTCTTTCCGGGCGAGCTGCAGGTTGGGGGCCCCGAGCCGAGGGGAACTGGGGTTTTCGGGCTGTTTGGGGGTCTAGGCGTTGGGGGTCAGGAGATGTGGGTCCTCCGGGTTGGCGGACGCGGGCCCCTCGATGCTGACGGGGTTTGGGGCCCCTCATGGTGAGGGCTTCTGGGGTCTCTCAGGCTGGACTTTGAAGGTCTCGGGCTAAGGGCTCCACGCAGCGAGGCTCCCCGCTTACCGGTCAATTTCCCGGGGACCCTGCCGCACCGCCCACCTCCGCGGAGCTCTGCTCCGGGCTCCGGGGCTTCCCGCCCTGAGGGAGGGAGGTTTCATCCTGGATAGCGGCCAATCAGTGCTGGGATTCCTGGGCCCTGCCCGCCAATGGGCGGTCAGAAGAAGCTGAAAGGGCGGGGCAGAGGGGCAGAGCCCCCTGGGTTCCGGACTGGCCAGCGGAAGACCCGCCCCGCCCCGCGGGGATTGGCTACCCTGGGTCTCCTACCGCCAGTCACCGCAGCCTGCAGCTCCGAGGCTGGTTGTCCTGCAGCTGGTGAGGAATCCAGCCAGCAGGACCTGGGATCTTCGAGCCGGGGCCGGACCTTAGGGTGGACGTGGGCCTCCTGCCGCCTGACAAAGTGTCTTTGTTCCACTAGACTATGTTCGGGATCCCCAACTTACATCTAGACCTGTCCGTGCCCCCCCCCCCCCCCACTCCCCTTTTGAAACCCACTTTCAGCTAGAGCTGCATAAGCAGTGAGGACGCGCGGTCAAGACTGCATTGCATTCCGTGGAAACTTAAGTCAGTAAATTCTGACCACGCAATTCATAGACACAAAATAAGTCCCAGAGGGCTGAAATATTTAATTACAACAAATGACATAAGTATACTGGAAAACACACTTGGAGAATTTCACATCTCAAAGTAGTGGCGTTATGGGCAATAGGTATGTTGAAGTAACTCAGGTGTAAAAACATTTCAGAAATAGGAAGACGAGATAAAACCAAGCAAAAGTAAATACATTTAGACATACTGGAAAAACCTACAAGTATTTTGCGTGAAAATAAAATCAAATTTGAGTACAGGGGTTCACAGAGCAGAGTCAGTTTAGCTGCTACTGTCACGTGATAAAGTGGGAAAGGTCCTTACCTCACGCAGATGGCAAATAAGCCAACTAACTATTACCGTGAAATTGCATAAAGGGAAACCTCACTAAAGTGGACTTGGGTGTCAGTGGGGGTGCTGTCACATAGCATCACCCAGGGTCAAAAACAATTCTCACCCCAAGAAACTCCCGACTATCCCCACAACCCCAGAGAGAAACCATCATCACCCTGATGGTTTCCTCCAGTGCACTTTCTGTTGAGATGATCCCTCCCAACTTCCTCCTTTCTCTACGTAACATAACGTTCCTCTCTTTTACTTATAAATCTTGCCAATGACTTTTGCTACAGCTTGTCTTAAACTGCATTTTTGACTGTTTCTGAAACCCCTTATCTGCTGGTAAAATAACCGACAGCTATGTTTTTAAGGTCAACATAATGCGTTGGCCCATATGGGGATCCAGAGGACTCCTGACATCTCTGAGGCTGATGAGCAAGCAGGTGCAGTGTCTTTGCTCTAAAAGACTCCAGGAAGGGTCCTTTGGTGCAGACTTCCCAGTGATCATTTGAGAATAGCCGTCCAGAAACAACATCCTCATACCCTCTAACCCAGAAATTCCTCTTTTCAAAATTTTCTCCTAGTAGCCCTGGCCTGGTAGTTTAGTTGGTTAGAGTATCTGCCTATAAGCCAAGGTGGTCAGTTCATTCTCCAATCAGGGCACATGCAAGAAGCAACCAATGAATGAATACATAAGCTGAACAACTAGCTGTCTCTCTCTTTCAAATTAATAAATGCAATGGAAGGAAAAGCATTAAAAAATTTCCCCAGATATGGTTCCCTGTGTATGAAATGAAGTATGGTTAATATATTTTATCCAACACATATAATAGCAGAAATAATTTTAAAGTTTTCAGTAGAAGAGAATTTGTTAAATTATGATTTGCTCACATTATAAAATATTATAGAACATTAAAAGTGGGTGAGAATATATCATAGTTCATTAAAGAAATAAAACCTAATAAGGTGGTGCTAATGGATTTTAACAGAGAATAACTTGTAAATAATGTGATTATGTGAGAAAAGTATCCTGCAAAACACATTATATTTAAAAAAGCCAGGCAGAGGACGCGCTGAGAGGAGACACAGGGACTATGTGCCGGGATCAGGGCCTGGGCAGCATGGAGGGGAAAACTTGCTTTTCCTTCACATTATTCGGAATGTTGTGTCATTTGTTTTCTGCTTTACTTAAATCCATCTGATACAGGGTGCAGCCGGGGGGGGGGGGGGCAAAAACAGATTTGGAATGGTGTCCAGAATTCAAAGTGTATAGGAATATTGGAGAGACATATAAGATGTTCTCACCACCCCCTTCCCCAGGGGAAGAAATGAATGGAGCTAGGCTATTGAGAGCTGTTTTGCATAGCAATAGTTTTGCAGCTAACCTCTGGAATGATTATTTAACATATCTATAGCCTTTAACTGGTTTCATAGATTTGTTAAATAGCGGTGGCCCAGTTTTGAGCCAGGGAGAAGGGAGTGGTTGGTACCCAAGATGTAACTAGGGGCTGCACCCCTGAATGAAGCGCCTGTGTGAGAGCTTGGAAAAGACTGGCTCCGGGACATGAGGCGATAACTGCCCAGGTGAAAGGGAAAATCACGCAGCTTTGCCAGAATGGAGGTCCCTGCAGCCAGGTGAAGAAGAAAGACAACCCGCTTTTGCTGGAGTGTGAACCCCTGCAGCTTTGGTAGAAGAGACCCACGCGGCTTTGGGGTGCTTCCTTTGGCTGCGTGGCCTGGAAAGCAGGAGAGACTTTGACTGGAACTGGGTACAAAGAACTCTTGCCAGTGGACCATGAGAAGGTGCCACAGTACTTTGGATTAACTAGAGATCCTGCACGGCAACACAGCTGACAATACCAGCGGCCTGCAACACAGACGTGTGCTCTTTTCCTGATTTACGGTATCCAGAGTTGGGACAGTGGGAGAAGGGAGCGCTGTGTGGGTGTAGGTGTATACCCTAAAGGACTTTGCTATTTTAGTAGTGGCATTAATCCTAAATAGCATTAAATAAACATTTTGTTTCCTTTCCACGAATCTCTGGCATTGAGAGATGTCTTTCCAATTGGCGGTGGACAGAAGGGCCCAATAGATATTAGTGTTCTGTCCTTGGGAGGACTCCCTGTTCTTTAGCAGTTTTTGGCATCCCTAGGTGGGCCAAATATTGCCCCCTCCCTCGGACCTCTTGTTCGGTAACACCATTAATCTGTCTATTCAAAGGCCATTACCCCACTGTTTAGATTAGTGTAGATTTATAACACAATACATAGTTATGTTCGGTTGGGCAAGGTTGTATTTATTAATTTCCTCTTCCAGAAATCTTTCATTCCTCATTTTAACGAGTGTACTGCACATGAGTTTTAGTGTTAAAATGTTGATATTTTAAACTGTATCAGAATAAATTTATAAGCAACTTTGGGAAATTGACATCCTTATGTTTTTAAAAAAATTTTATTTATCTTTTGAGGGGAAGGGAAGGAGAAAAATACCAATGTATGGTTTCTTCTCCTGCGTCCCCTGCTGGAAACTGGCCTGCAATCCAGGCATGTGCCCTGACTGGGAATCAAACTGTGATCCTCTTGTTCACAGGCCCGTGCTCAATCCCCAGAGCTACACCAGCCAGGGCTGTCCTTATGTTTCTTATCAAAGAATATGATGTTACTTTCCAGTTGTTCAAGTGTCTTTCTTTGGGCGTCATTTTAACATTTTGTTCACACAGATCATGCAGATTCTTGCTGAGGTTAATGTTAGGCCTTGTATCTGTTTTGTTACTATTGGTTCTTTTCGATTCTATCTTTAACTGAGTGTTTATATGTATATATATATATATATATATATATATATATATATATATATATAAAGGTATTTATTGCTCTGTGTTATTCCCCCTCACTGTAATAAATTCTATTATTTGTAATCTTTATATTGCTTTTCATGATTCATCAAGGTAAATAAGCTATCAAACAATAATAAAGTTGTATTACTTTAGTTATGTAAAAGCATGTAAAAATAGATAACGCTTCAAAGAAAGTATGAAGAAACGAGGTAATATGAAGAGTTAGAAAAAATTTTGTTGGTGTTCATTGTTAGGGGGTGAGGAGAAGAGCCGAGATGTTTGCTTAAACTAGATGTTTATTTTTAGACTTAGGCAGAAAACCACACCTGGCCGTGGGCAGATGTTCCAGGGAGTTTAGCCAAGGCCTTACTCTCGGACAGGAGGAAAATTTTTACCTCAAGACATGGCCTTGTCTTTGCAGAAAAGTATCCATTGTAGTAAGCAGAGATAGTATGTGTCCTCTCAAAATAGCCAATTGCTAACATACGTCTGCTTCTGATTTGCTGCTTGCCTTGCTCACCCCAATAAAAACCCCAGGCTGTAAGCGCCAGGCGCGACTCTCATTTGCAGCCATTCTGGCACCGTGTCTCCGGAGGCACCCCGAGGGTTGGCGCAGGTCTTGAAACTTTGGCCAATAAAACACCTCTGACTACCCAGCAGTCTCCGACCCTTCTTGCTCGCAAGGACGGGATGTAACATTCATTAATGCTGAAATAAAAGAGGAACAGGATTTTTATTTTTAAGTGAGTTCAGGGCTTGGAGCCCTGGTCTTGTAGAAAGCAGAAGTGTTTTGTAAGTGAAATGGCGCCCCCTCTAGGTTATCTGAGGAACTCACGATATGGCAAATGTGCGCATTTCCCGTAAGGGAGATTGTAGATGGTGAACTTTGGAATGTGCAAAGCAAGACTATTTACTTATAGTGACGTTATAGACACTTATTAAGGAGTAACGTGTGAGCAATGACAAGAAACCTGTCATCCTCACTCACCTGCGGAGCTTCACCACCGTGACTCAGTCTCCCCAGGTGTGCGGTCCCTTCCGCCCGCTGCGCTTGGGCAGGTGCCGGCTCAGCCTGGACGCTTCCACCGCGGCTCGTGAGCTCCACGAAGGCACGTGTGTCCCTCTCACCAGTGTGTGTCCTGTATTACGCACGAGATGCCCGTGCCCGGGCCTGACACCAGCAAATGCGTCTTCACAGGCACTTACCGAGTGAACGCGCTCGCTTCCCGGGCCGAGACCGCCCTCTGGTCCGTGTGCTCCGCGTGCGGGTGGGGCCGCACCTGTCTGGCACTGTGCTCAGCTTCCCTGCGGTCCCTACTGTCCCGATGGT